CCAATAAATTGTATTTTAAAAAAATCTATCCCAACCCTAAACCCAACCATCAGTACTGAAAAATATGAATTATTGTTGTACAGTGTCACAAAAATGATGTTATTGATGTGCGTATAAACAGTTGTATCCTATGTAGTCTTTACCGCTTACTGCTCTTCATTTGAATTCCTAAATGCAATTAGCATTAGCAATCTGCAGCAAATTTATAAATACCTTCCCCCACTCTGTTCCACCTTTGTATAGATCTGCAACGGGGGTTTTATGTATGTTGTTTGCAGTGTGTTATTAAATATACTAGCAGTAGCAAGTCTAAATACTTGCTCTGCACCAATAATCAGAGCAGCAGCAGCGTAGCAGGTGTATGACATCAAGAACAAACACATGATCAGTGCCATATTTGTTTACATACTAAACCTCTCTGAATGTTCAATTTGAATATGAAAACATATAATAAAGAAGGACAATGCAACAGTAAAGAAAGAGCATTCACTTTTGTTCCAAGATGGTGGTGATGTGACAGTCACATATTTGATTCCCTATTGTTCTCAATCGGTCAACATTAAAATGAGAAGGTCAGGGAGGGCAAATGAACCAGAAAGTCCTGAAACTCTCTCTTACTTTCAGTCCTCATTAACAGCTCATTGTTTTGTGGCCCTCGGTTGCACTCAAAGGCCCCTAGACTCTCATCCCCATCTCTTGACACAGTCACTCCCAACTTGTAAACGTTGCCATGGTGATGCTTCAGGCATGGTCAAGAATCCGCAGCGGAACAGTGGGAGACGGGATGGGGGAAGATGCTGGCCTTGGGGTCTCAGTGGGAAAGATCCTTTTATAGGACATAATGACGCCAGAACTCTTGGGGAAGGCAATAAACGGCTGTTGTCTGTAGATCCGTGCACCTTCATGCCATTCATTGTGCGTTGCTGGTTTGATCCATCTATCTAGTCACAACTGGAATATAATAGGCCTTCAGGCGTCAGATGTGAGGCTCAAGTTAAGCATGTCCAATATGTTATTTTGCTCAACGTGTCACTAAAAGTGACTGAAGTGAATTCCTGGTGCACGTCACATTACTATGACAACCTTCACGGTGTCAACTGGCTTACTCTAATTTGGAAGGTTAAGTCATGTGAACCACATTGTGCAATACAGCATTGCAAATGCTGCACTGTGTTGTATACTGCATATTGTAATAATATCATTAAGTGTATAAGGATTCTTAGAAAACTGCCTTTGATTATCATAAACAATCAGGATTATTACAACAGGTTTGTAGACTGGAGAAAGGGGCAGTTCCCTTTTTCTCAAAACGTAGACCTTTCTGAAGTTATTCGCCTCATTTTCTATTTAACTATGAGGTTTAAATACTGCTTAAATACTTGAGAGGTCATCATAATCACACTTTTTAATGCACCAGAAAAATTTCCCAAAGATTTAGAATAAAAAATATAAAAAAAACATTTAAATGTAGCACAAATGTATCACATCATATATCATTAGGCGGGAAAATGTAATCATTAAGGCTTTGAATTAAAAAAAGCCTATTAAGGCAAAGTAAATTGTCATTCATTAGGCAAAATCAATTTAATTCAATTCATCTTTATTTCTATTGCACTTTCACAATATAGATTGTGTCAAAGCAGCTTAACATAGAAGTTCTAATAAATTAAAACTGTCTCAGCCCAGTTTTTTAGAGTTTAGAGTTTAGTTCAGTTCATTGTGGTTTAATTTTCCCTGCTAAATGTCCAAACACTGAAGAGCAAACTTCACAGCTTTTTATTGGTCATTTTTTCCCTTTTAAGAATGAGGTCCGAGATTTAGAATAAAAGTTACTTGTAAAATGTTTTCTCTATTCAACAACACAGTAGGTCAGTAATGAGATGACTTCACTTACTTCAGTTTCTTTTCGGTCTTAAAGCCTTCTTCGATGAGTTATTTTTACAATTTATGATGCAATCAAAATAGGATGAACGAACTAATGTATGGTACAAATTCTGGACCTCTGTCAGTGAGGGGCGAGTCTTTCGAACCACCCGGACCTTCACTGGCTAGAGGCCTGTATGAATAAATTTCATCCATCAAATCACCCTTAGAGTGTTAACCTTAGAGCCCTATATGGGTCATTCTACAGAAACTTCTTCTCTTGGTATGGCAAAATGACAAAAAATTATTTTTCTAAAATTTTTAAACTTAGTCCACATTAATCAATCACCTTGCGACTTTATGAAAACACACAAATGACAGCTTAATGATTTTCTTTATATTTTTGTACTTTTGTTTGAATGTCATATAACATCACTGGTGATACCTACTTTTTTGGCCAATCTTATGTTTTTTTAATGAAAAATTATTTATTTATCTTTTTAGTGCATAGTCATATTACAGACAATAATGATAACACAAGTAATAAGGAGATTATGTGTTATTTGTTTTGTCAAAAGTGTTTTTAATGACATTGATTATTTTCCGCTATATATATATATATATATATATAATATATTTGCCATAACAAAGAAAATATTTGAAAAACATTTCTAAATGAGTAAAAATGCAATCTTTTAAATCTTAAATCTTGAGTGTAACAGACATAAAAGCATGTAAAATTATCTTTAAAATTATTACACATCGTGACACATTTTGTTAACCTAATGTGTAAAAACACAAATGACACAATGAATTACAAGTGAGAAACATAATGACCTTCAGTGGAGTTACCCATAAGAAAAGTAACACCATTGACAATTTTCATGAAAAATGGATTTCACAAAATGTCTGCTGCAAAGAATCAAACATGTTACAATCATGTATAGCCTACTCACTAAGCTGTGTTTAATCCAGTTATATTCTAGTATTGTTTTAATAATTGTTTAGCATTTAAGATGACAAAGTGCAAATGTTCAAATAACACATTGTTTCATTTTTAAAATATAAAGGGTTTTTCAAGTGTAAAATTTCTGTTAAGTCTAGAAACAGAAAACTGACATTTCAGTAGAATTGTCCATATATACTTTTAATTTTTTAATACCAAAAAGACAATGCAGTACCCTTTCAATTGAAACTGCAAAAAAATGTCCCACTTTCAATGTGCAATGCACAGAAAGAAGAAAATAAAAGTTTAGATGGGGTGTAGTCTCAACCATGTAGACTAGACAATGTTAGTTGTTCTGGAAAGTTGCTGGGATGTAAATATATTCTGAGGGGTTGTTAGGACATTATTTATTTACTTTTTGCAGAAATAAATTTGACTTAAGTTAATTTGATCACATATGTTTCAGTCCACATTTCCATTCCGTCAGTAACAACCCCAATCAAATACAATAGTACAGCGCCATCTGCTGTCTCATCTCATTCATAACTCTAAACGGTGTTTAACAGCATCTGACATATTTAAGATTAAAAATAAACGTTTTTGGCTGTTTATCTACATTCTCGTTACCCTGAATTTTTACATGAGCAAGTAGTATAACTTAGCCACATGAAACGAAAATTATACCTGTTTTAACGTAATATTATGTCTATTGTAATCATGATTTTTGAAAATTAGGTCACTTGTCAGTTTTTTCATAATAAATATACAATCATAAGATCTACCATTATTATTACTTCATCTTTTCTTACATTTTTAAAATTACACTACTGTTCTAGTACCTTATCAGGACTGCTTTTCGAGTCGATTCGAACAAATCTTCGAGAAGAATCAAGGTGCGTTCGACATGAAGCTCAGCTGCAGCCGGTGATCAACGAGATTAGCCGAGCGCAGGCGGGGGCGGAGTTGATAACGGAGCCGTCAAGACGGACAGCTGAACACTTCGGGACTCAAAGTTGCTGCAGTTATGATGACCGATCACATGGCGTCATCATATTTTTTTTGTTATTTTTATTTATAACAACAAAACATTTACAAATAAAACAGAATACAGGCTCTTCAAACTGTAGTTCCTTTTTAAACAATAAGAGAGAATTATGAATAAAATATATAACAAATGCATGAGAGAAATAAGAGGAAATGAGAGGTTAATATAAACATAAAAACGAACAGGTCTATTAAATACAAAGCAATAAGCATAAATTCTAGGAGTTAAACATCACTCTTTAGGCTAATACTTCTTGTTTGAATATGCTAAAAAGGGTTTGCATATATGTACATTTATAGATATAAAATTTCCCATGTAAAAAGCAAAACAAGGTGTTTTGATTAGGTCTTAATAAATGACATTATTTTGGATGATGAATGAATTTTCAAAAAAGCATTTTAATCCAAAAAGATTGTGTTGAAAAGAACAAAAGGTAAAATAAGTGAGCGATGTAGAAGTTTCCCAGAAAGAGCAGGTAGCCTTTAAACTGCTAGACAGAAAATAAAATATATATTTATATTATAATAATAAAGCCATTTTATAATTATTTAATAAAATAGTTCTTTACTTTAATTTGTTAAGAGAGCTTTAGGGGGGCAGGATCAATGATGATGATTATTTTATTTCAAGTCTGTAAGACTTATTTGAGTTCATATTTAGGTTATTCACTAAAATATACACTAAAATATATCATTTAAATCGTTCATAGAGATGAATGCAGTAAATAGTCTGTATAAAAAAGTTAAAAAATAAACCTGTGCAAACAAGCTAACCTTTATAACCAGATTATTTAACAAAAGATGATACTGCAGTAAAATATTTGTAGTCTTTTAATAAGCAAGATGTGTACAGGATAGAGAGGGTGTGAAAAGTGAAATGTTTGTTTTGAAACTTTTGAATCGGAATTTGTCCAATTATAAACCCGAAATACACGTGTTTGTTGTCATGTGGTGAACTTGGCCAATCGTGTAATATCGGTGTCGTCATCAAAGCTCCTGCAGTCGCTCTTCAGAAGCTGCATGGTCTGAGTTTGCCGTCTGATCTCGGAGCGCTGTCGCGGTACTTTGATGCCACATGTGACAGTCACGTGGCGTCGGCGCAGCATCAATCCGGACAAGATTTCTAACCAGAATGCACCGCTTTAAGACAGATTTCGATCGATCTGCGCAGCGCTGCATGAAGTCGAACGCACCTTCAGTTCACTCGTAAATAGGATGTGGCCACATGATGTCACCACGATCACTCTTCTTCGATGGTATGCAGTTGTAGCTATAAAAGCGTAGTGCCCCCTCCTAAGATCCCTCATTTCGCGATGCCTACTTCGACGATGTGTGGAAGAAATGAGCATAAGAAAACCGAAAGGTTACAAGAAGGTAAAGTTTATCATTTTGATTTATCGCACACACTGTAGGGACGTATAAGCTTCTGAAAGGTAGTTAAATTGATGAGGGCTGTTTGTAAATCCTGTGGGTCAAATGTGTGCATGTTGCATTCGACACGTGGTTTTCTTCTGAGTAACGTGGCTGGTTCTTTGAAGACTTGATTATTTAAACAGGAACATGCCCTAAATGTATATTAATTTTTGCTTGATAACTGTATAGTGAACTTTATTTAAAAATGCTATTTTTAAAGGCAGTTTGATATTTTTTCCCCATTTTAGGTGGCTGACTGGTTTGTGTTTATAACCTGATGAAGACCCTTTGGCTGCTGTAATGCAAGTATGTTATTTTTTTCTTGTGTATTAAAGCCCAGCGGTAGTCAGCTGTGCAGGCCAGACCATGCCTGAGCTAGTGTTACTCTGCTGGAAGAGAAAGGCACTGCCATTTGTGCTCCATCAGGTTTGGCTGTTTTAGTGAATCCTGCTGTGTGGTGCTGGTTATGCCATGTCTTCTGAGAGTGGCCTGTACTCACAAAATGAGGCAGGCCTAGTCTGGAGGCAAACACTCAAGTCAATTGGCTACTGGTGCTGCATATTTGTTTCCATGTTCCTGATGAAGATTGTTTTTCCAGGTTGCACAAGACTCATCTAGAGTACCTCAATCTAGTGGTCTAGTGAATTGAGAGGTAAGTGTTTCTCAATCCAGAAATCAAAAACTGTCAACTTTCTTTGTCTTAAGTGGTTAAAAATAAAATCATTCCATCAGGTCAGGGTGTGCATTTACTACAGGAAGAGCCATGTTGACCTGCTTTAAGTTAGTGTTATGTGTGTACTAATAGTAGGCAATACAGCTCCTAGTAATAAAAATGGTGTAGTGCATTGGCTGTAGTAAATGCAGATCTGATTCAAAAGTAGGAAAACAACACATTTACCTTGTGGCTATCAATGTTGATTTTGTTTTTAAAGTGGCTTTTTCTATAGGAAGAGGGTGTTGACTGTACTGTAAGAAGAGGTGAAATCCCTGTAAAAATCCTAGCGCAGGTAACTTTTTCAGTCATTGTGATCCAAGATGATACCATCATAGCAGAAGCCTTTCTCTGTTGTGATGTCTTTTTAATCTTGGAATATCAAATGCAGGGTTGGCACTGATTTTTGTTGCAATTTTCTTCAAAAATCTGACAAAGAAGCCTGCTACATTTCATTATTTAGTATTTAATGTTGAGATCTGTGTTTGACTTTTTTTTTTTTTTTTTTCCTGTGGTTGTAGGAAAAAAGTGTTGAAGATCAGCCAGAATGACGATTCTCAAACGGTTCAATGTGAATGTAACAAGCGAAACTTCGACTGTGGTGTCAACTTATCTGAATGGAATATGAATGTTCTTGTTTAATTTTTAGTAAATGAATATAAAGACCTGCTCCCTTTTGTGAAGTGGTTTCATGCTGAATATTAAGAATTATCAATGTGTAATGCAATCAATTATGGCTGGTTTTCCATTTAGAAATAGAATAGTCTTATACAGGTTACTGAAAGAATATTTTAAATTGTCAACTGCTTGGACTAGTCTTTTTTGACTTTACACTATTGACCTGGTGTTATTTTATTTATTATTATTATATCTTACACTAAAATAATAAAGGTGTCAACTGAATTTTCAGTTGGGTAAACTATCTAAGCCAGGAGTGTCTGGACTCTGTCCTAGAGGGCCAGTGTCCTGCATATTTCGAACCCCAATTAAACACCTAAACCAACTAATTAAGCTCTTTTTGGGTGTTCTAGAAACTTTCAGGCAGGTGTGTGTGTCAAAGGAAGTTGGAGCTAAACTGCAGGACACTGCCCTCCAGGAAAGAGTTTAGATACCCCTGGTCTAAGCCATAGGTCTCAAACTCAATTACTGGAGAGTTGCAGCTCAGTTATGCTCAAACCCTAATCAATATGTCTGATCCAACTAATCAGTGTGTTCAAAGCTACTTGACACCAATTGAATCTCCTAAATTTGTTTGATCAGCTGTGTCTTGGGGTTTGTGCAAAAAACTGTAGAGCTATGGCCTTCCAGCAGTTGAGTTAAAAGTCACGTCTCGCTAACAGTTTCAGGCTTTGGCGCATTTTGCACTCGCACACAAGCGTACCGTGCCAAAGCCCAAGTGAACCGTGCTTAGGCACACCTCTTCCAACCGGGCCAGGGCTGGCCAAGTAAACCGTGCTTGAGCCCGATTCAGCGCACTCACTTTTCAAACGATCCGGGAAACGGGCCTGAGCACGGTACGGATGGCATAGTGTGAGTAGGCCCTTAAAGACCTATGGTCTAAGCCACAGGTGTCAAACTTGGTTCCTGTAGGGCTGAAGCTCTGCACAGTTTAGTTCCAATGCTAAAACACCTGATCAAACAGTTCTTTAGCATTGTTTGAAACCTACATGCAAGTGTGTAGAAGCAGCGTTTGAATAACCGTGTGCAGGTCCTCCAGGAGCTGAGTTTGACACCCCTGGTCTAAGCAATAAATAACTATGCCACTGGTCCCCTAGTTTGACTTCTTAGAGTTAAGACAATTACAAGAGTGATCTATTGTAAAGTGAGTGTCAAAAAATAAAATCAATAAATCTTGATTTCCTGGAGGTTTGCAGCTCTGCACAGTTTTGCCTTTAACCTAATCAAACGCAGTTGATCTAACTAATTGAGGTGTTCATGACTACTAGTGGCTATTAAGCAGGTGCGAGTTGGAGGTGGTTGGAGCTAAACTGCAGAGCTGTGACTTTTGAGACCTGTTAAAACTGTAGCAATGAGGTCACAATACTGTGCAGCTTTTAGCAACATTAAAAAAATTTCAAGCAGCACTGTACCATAACTAGAAAAGTGGGTTAAGTGTGTACTGCAACATTAAGCATCGGTATAAGCAGTAATTTTTCAAAATTAAAAGCTAGATATTTGCGTCTGTCATCTAATGCCAAGCATTCCAAATATAAGAATAATATTCAACATGTAAAAAGCTAATTTTTTGTACACAATGTCTACATTTATTTTGTTTCATATATGTATCTACATATTAATTTATTTTTCACATTCATATTTTTACTTTTCTTGGTCTCTAACCTACTGAAAAATCCCCCAAAAATTTTGGTATTTATGCTATTAAATATTCAGACTATTTGATTTTTTTTTTATTTGAATATTATGTGCATGTCTGTGTTTTTCACAATCAGGACTAAAAGTCAATGAATTGATTTTTTTTTATTTGAATATTATGTGCATGTCTGGGTTTTTCACAATCAGGACTAAAAGTCAATAAATAAATGACTGGCACTCATATGGCAAAATAAAAAAGACAGTTGTTAACGTTGTCCTGTTCCCCAGTTCTGGTAAAAGACTAGAAACATCCATGTTATAAGTCCTGCAATCTTTTTTAGTCCACCTCATAGTAAAGTGTGTTTGGTTGTACTTTTTAAACTTGAAGTGTATTATGTGCAGTGTATATTGCTGTAGCTGTAAGACCTTTAGTTCAGTGGGTCTCCGTGTTTTTTTTTAAATGGTACATTTCTGCCTCCTACTGGATAGGAGTGTGTAACGCATAATAGTTGGAAAGTAAACCATGAATGGGAGATGATGGATGATAAATAAATAATTAAGATAAAGTTTTATTTACACAAGAGTCTTGAATTATATTGATAAATCCTGTTATCCTGATAAATTCCAAATAAAGGATGAGTAAACTGACAGAATAATTGGTTTTGTATGAGTTTAAAAGTTTTAAGGAATAATGCGTTGCTTATCTTAATGCACTCAAATAATGATCTAATATTCACATTTATTTGTATTGACATATAGGTTTATAGGGTCCATTTTAAAAAGCTGGTTCACTCAAATGTGAAAATGAGCTCCTTCTTCCTTGTGTGCGTGTGTTTGAGTCCTTTGAATTTCTCTCTTCTGAAGAATGCTGGTTGCTGGGATGCATTGACTTCAATTGTAGAAAAAATGGGAGTCAATGGGTCGCGGCAACCAGCATTTTCTCAAATGTTTTCTTTTATGTTTAACTGAAAAAACTCGAATCGAGTTTGAGCAATTAAATGGCGAGTCACGTTAAATGGGAAAAAAACGTTTCACTGATGTATTCAGTAGCCCCTGTTATTTTTGAATATGTTGCACTTACAGGTTGTATAACATTTATTAAGTTCCTAAAATTAGCACATACATCACACAACGTGACTGGTTGAACTGTCCCTTTAAGGTGATTCATTTTTCTTAAAATCCGAAGGGAATTAAGGTTTAAACAAACGGTAATGGTATTTTTCTTGTTTGAAAGAAAGAAAAATTACTGGTGTTTTTGCCACATTAAACCGAAACACATCGACGACGGGAAATTACCTCGGAAGTATTAAAAGGCTATGCATTAATATTTTTCTCTCTTGTTTTGTCGTGACCACGACTAAATTATTGTGAGCCCGAGCAGTTAGGCTATTTTCTCCCTGATCACAAGGCCGGTGCAGACTCACTGGTCAGACATTGGTCAGATAATAATAGTAATAATAATAATAATAATAATAATAATAATAAATATATAAAAGCAAACAAAAAAAACGTGATTACGACATGTTTGTCATAACGTTTTATGTCGAGATCACGAGATAATTAAGTCATCACGAAAAAACAAGAGAGAAAAAATATTTTAATCCATGGCCTCTTGGGGCTTCCTTACATGACTTACTTTTTCTCTTTATTTCTTAATACATGAAAAAATTATTTTTGTGGACCCAGGTCTTTCGTCTGTTTGTATTCCCGCCACGGCGTTCTAAAACGGAAAAAGAAGTTACGCGCTAAACTCGACATGTGATCTATAAACCATAGACCGACCTCAAAGAGCTTAGAATCACCTGATTCTAAGGTCTTTGCAGATTTTAACGAACGGGTACACATGATTTGTGGATCGGCGTATGTGGGTGGATCAAGTTGTGAGATACGTCACTAACACCGCCCCTTAAGTGTCATGTGACATCGATGTTGACGTACACTGCAGGACATTGGCGCGGTTTAATCCAAACCCGGCAGCTGATCGTACGTGCAGGTTCAATTTTACACCCTCTCGAAGCAATGTCTGAACAACAAAAATACAAATACGAAAACGATTACAAATCTAGTGAAGACAGGTAAGAATTTTAAACTATATTTAGTGGTGTGTGCAGTTGTTTTTGTCTTTTCGTGTTTTTTGGCTTTGTGGCTCCGATGTTTGCTAGCATAGCAAGACAACAAAGTATTGTGTTCCTGCTGTACTTCACTATTTTGTCTGTTTTTGGACTATAAAACATTCTTTTTACTTTCATTTGTAACTTCTTCTACTATTTTAGGTCATTAGTTCTTGCAAAATCTCGACTCTTTTATGCAGATAATGAATGAGGTGTGAAGATCTCCCGCCAGTCTTCTGTGTTGTGTTCAGAGTGTAAATGAGAGTTGGCGCCATACGAGCATTACCTCTGGATTCCCTAAATCAGCATTACTTATTTTAGTTTTACTAAAAGTTGTTGTTTTTATTATTTGCAGTGAGTTGTGTGTTGACTGCAGGTTATTTTGTGGCGCCATGGAAACAAAGGTTTCTTCGAGTAGTGATTTAGCTCATTGTGTACGTTAACTGTTAGTTATTAGGAAGTCGCGGTTTTCCGTCGCCATCTCCTTTAACGTTAAGTGTGTAACGAAGTAGATTTGTTTGTAATTATACATAAGCATATTTGGAATATTAACAAGTGATGATGACTTGTGTTGTAAATTGCATTTCTTACTGAAAATGTATTAACCCAAATTTTGATTCGTAATATGCTTTGCTAAGCTCTGTATAAACAACTTTAAATGTGCATTTTATCAGTTCTGTGATAAATTTTTTTTGTAACTCTGCGATTCTAGATTTTTAAATAGTTGTATCTCCACCAAATGTTTATTAATTATATCCATGTGTTTATTGCTTTAGCATTTCGTGTTCATGTTATGTGCAACATTCACTTTTTCACTTTTTTTTTTTCAAATGTATATATATTTTGTGTTAAAGGAACAAAGGAGCTTCAAGGTGGTCACAGTGTAGGAAACGTGGAGCAGATGGTATTCTGAGGAAGTCTCATGCTGATGAAGAGCCAGGCAAAGATCAAAGATGTTCGAAGAGATCAGAAAGGTAACATTTTGCATTGACTTTACAACATACCAATTTCTCAAGAGAGTCAACTGGAGTAGTTTTGTTAGGTTGTGGTTGACATTTTGATTTATTAGATGCATCAAATCTGACCTCTTTGATGAATTTCATTACATTTTAAACTGAGATACAAATGATAGTCGGTTTATTTTCTTATTACTGAACAATTGTGTCTTTTTTTGTGCAGTTTTACAACCCCAGAGAGTGAAGGACCAGTGTCCAGAATAAAAAACTGGGGCGATGAGGTGGAGGAA